CTATTGCTTGTGCATAATCTCCCTCAAGCTTATGATGGGCATTACAATTGGCATATCCTGTGTAGCGATCCCCGAAAATCACCTTCGTGATTAACAGCACGACATTAAAGGATATCATTGTCTCCCTATGTACCTTTAGATTTATTTAAAATCAATGAATTCAAAAGTAATTTGACCCAGTTGTGAAAAAACGGTGACAGTGACGGTTGGGAGCGATCACACAGCTCAACACGTAAGGCCAGAATATAGCCAACGCTCAAACAACCTGGACTGTGATAATCCAACCGGCGGCCGTGGGTTTACTCATATTTACTTCAAGTTAAACATTCAGACTACGACAACCTACGAAATTAACCAGTTCTGATAAGACAGGCTAATTACTCAAGCGACATTTCCCGAGCAATCACTCTGCAGTCTATTAGGTGACTACCAAGCATACATAATTTACGGAGGATTTCAGCACATGTAAAACAGTTGTGCACCGTAATCGCAGTTGTACTAATTGCATATGATCGATTTCCTTTGTCATTATGAGGTAAGACGAATTGTGGTACATAGTTTGCCTAAACTTTTCGAAATTAATATCATCGGGATTTGTTTCTTTTTGAAAGGCAATAAGTTGGATTCCCTTGAACGAGATCAGAAACTTCATCTGGGCGACGTTCTGCTATGAATATGATTGGTCTACGGCTAGAACACAATTTGTGGCCAACGTATAGGACAATGTATGGGAATGTGCTGGGCATCCCGACTCAGTGTGTATGTACGTACTGCCCCACAGCATTTGGAGAAGCAACTCGTGAATCAAATGCACCCCTTGAATTAACTGGACGTCGGGGGATCCTAGAAGCATTAAACTACCTAATTAAAGGAGGTTAACTCGATAAACGTGCGTATTTTGATTATTCATCCTCAGACATGCACAGTAATAAATGCATGCTAACGTAAAGCAGCAGAATCTGAAAATAACCAATAACACGTGCCCATGAGGAGATGGATTCAAGCGAGCATGCATGCCGGGAGTAATGGTACGCTAGTACTGTCCGCGGAATGGACCGGCTTCCCAAACTGGCATGTCCGCTAGTCAACCTTTTGCTAATCGACTTTTCTCTTGTCTCACTGCCTCGGCATTTCGGGATGTTTGACGGGCTGTTTGACCGCGTTTGCCGTTAGTCGCCGCCTCTTGGGGTGAAGTGAATATCACTTGTTCTGTGCTGGTCTGTCTATCGACCTTTGGAAATGGTACGCGTCCTAGAAGGCTTTGAAATAAGGCGCTCATTTGTTGTTTTCGGATGTTAAGCTTAAATATCTTGTCTCAGTCCCAGAACGCCGTGCATGGAGTTGTATTTTGTTGCGAAATTGTTTTTTGCATGTTAGGAGAATTGTGGATCTGTGATAAATTTTGACTTTGATATCGAAAACGGAAGGACAGAACGATTCCTTTGCAGGGATCAGGGGCCCAAATGGCTCATGCGAAAGAATTTCGGGGACAGTAGCTTTAAGAAGGTCCACGCTCATTACATCCCCTCGAGTTTCTCATTGGATGCTGAGCGTTTTCGGACTGCGAGAAACGACGTTGAAGGGTCCGTCGAAGGCCCTTACAGTGACCGATGTATTCCGCCGTAGCAGATATAGAGGTTAGGGCATGACGCTATAACAGTCCAGAAATGATATTTGAAGGCCGATTGCCTGGGCAATTCCCTTGATGACCCTTTTGAAGGCGGTACATACAATATTAACTGTAAGCGCACATCTTACTAAAATCTTGTCAATGGCAAAGATGTTTAGGGAAAACGTTTTTACAGTGGAGAACTGCGAAGGTCTTTTCCACGCACACATGAAATATTAAGCGTAATTATATACAATCAGCACAAAATGCAGTCATTTGCGTAATTTGTGGGAAGAAATTTCGGTTAGAAGGTAGTTGGTAGCCCTTCCGGTACCGAAAAATCCCAGCTACCTGACTTGCGGGACCGGTGGTAATAGGGGCTAAACGGGTGGGGCAAAAGAGTGGAGGCGTAAATGGCGCTTGTAGGGAATGCCTGGAATTGACGATCCTGATAAAGTGGAAACGTAATTTAAATAATGTGAAACATGTGAGGAAGGTGAACACTTCGGGTCTGACTGACGTATGAGACGCCTTGCTGTTGTAGTCTGAACCCAAGAGGTAGTAAGTGCACGATGTGGTAGGTGACGTGCGCCCAGTTCAAACCCAGCAATGTCGAAGCGCCCGGGGGGATGCCGTAGTGCCTTAAACTGGAAGTGCAGGAAAAGATCGCTAACTGGCCATGGCGGTGTTTACAAGGCGTCACAGTTTTCAGCCAAACGCCTGCGACCAAATACAACCGGACTGTTCGTAAGGGCGGGGGGTGGAGGGCAACACTCTGTCAATACGACTGATGCAGTGGATGGAGTATCGGTAGACACCTTAACTGAGCGTCGGTTGTCCTTACGTACACGATCGCACCGGACTCTTTTAGAGTCCTGGAGTAAAAAGACCCAAGGATGCAGGCAAACCGACGAAAAATAGACCCGCGCCAATCCGCCTAGGTTAGTACTTATGCAATTAATCTGATGCAGGTAATACTGTGCGCACATGCAACTAGAAGCATAATGGGAAGCATGATGAATCATAATCCGTTTAGGATAAATCTTTCGCCTTTTACTAAAGATTTCCGTGTGGGGGTGCAATACAATGAGTCTATGTAGACAGACTTGCAGAGCCTCGTTCTCGGGGCGGTTAAAGTGAAGAAGAAAGTCATCCTGACAGGGCCTCCGTGCGTGCACCCCCCAGACATAATGAGAACGTTATCACAGATACCGAAATCGAGCCAGTAGGTACACTTGTAGAATCAGTGAGCAGGGCTACCAACTACCATCCTGCCGACATTTCATTAAACATACAGGCATGCGCTACGCATGGGATTGACTGGCCACAGATAGTCCCCCAGTGAAAGTCGTCGGTTATCAAAGACCAACCAGTCCAGCTGCCGTCTGAATACAACCAATGCATCAGATGTCGTTATTTAACTTGACAGTGAGTTCCATGTTCAAACAACACTCTGCAAACAGGCCGGCTAGCAGTGTATGTTGGGGTTACAAGATAGCATATTAACCGCAAAGCTACCAGCCGATAGTCCAGACACGGTCTGCGCCTTAGGACCTCAATTTAAGTGGATATACTCCAAGTCCATAGTTAATTTCTAAGGAAATTAAAAATCAACGGACGAGGAATGTCGGGTACACACTGGCGAGTCGAACTCCTCTTAGCTGGGCCATGCAGCGGCAGAATATCGATGAAACGCTCATGTTCGGGCTTTTAGCAAGTACCTGTGCCGTCAGTGGGGCAGTGTTGATTGTGTTAAATGAAATGCGTTTAATTGGGGTAAACGTTATTCTAGTCCATTACACCCAAACAGGATTCCCCATCAGAATGCGCGTCGATGAGTTTCGACCGAATCTTTAACAATTACATAGGCAGCTAGAAGTGATGTTTTCGTAAAATCACTCCACAAACGCAAGGCAACACGCTAAAATTTATTCAAAATCATACAAATCCGTACAGTTGGCAAATTACGGAGAATTTACCGGGAGAATTCCACTTTCGTTCCGCTAGCATGCCAAGCAGAGATACACTCAGATTCATGCGGTTAAACTGCTTCCCCTAGAATTCCCAACCCCCCACCAGAAATGTTTTCAAAGACAAGTCCTCTGTCTGTCGTCCCATTTAAATGTTAAGCGTCCTAGCCTGCTTTGAAATAAGACGCTTATTTGTATTCCGGATATAATGTTTGAATATCTTTTCTCAGTCCCAGAACGCCATGCATGGAGTTATATTTTCAAAAGGCAATTTGCGAACCTACGTTACTTTCGATAAATTCTCTCTAAACCTGTACGCTTATATGGCTATTGAAGTAATGAATTATAATATACGGACATGTAGATAATAAAGCTGTAGCTCGTGTTTGGGGAGGGGAGGTAGAAGAGAGGGACAGTGAAACACCACAATTCAAGTCAGTGCCAGGGAGAAGGTAGGTCCCGGCGAAGGTAATTACATGCGGGTGGCTGGCTTGCTCGCTTCGGCCCATGACATCAGTGGGACCTGTATGAAGTTATTCTGTGCGTATAAGATCGATCCGCGTAGCCTGATTGTAGCCGCCTCTGCCGTCAGCCAACAAGCGCTGCTCAATCAGTTTACGGTTGCTTGATAAGACCTTGTAAATCAGTTTGAAAGCCTCTCTGGTGTCTGCACGGTTGTCTGTGCCTACCATATGCACTAGAACGGACAACGATCAAGCATTTGCATTCCCTTTCTGTCTATTTGACTGTGACAATCAGTAGGTTTGGAAAAAAACTAAGCGATATATCTGCTGAAACGCCTGTCCGTCATGGCTAAAATTTCTGTGCAAAAATTTACGCCCTGGCTTCTAGGCATGCTTGTTGAATGACAGTGTGTAGAAAATGTGCCCATTTTATAGAAAACACAAACGCCATGTCCAGGCCTGAAGAATTTCGGTCCTTATGCAGGTAGTCTCCGTCCATGTTCTAACAACCGGGGCTAAATCTTTTGTCGTATTCCTGAAATCTGGACATTCAGCTAATTTTCTACCTTTTTTTCGCAAAACAAATTGTATTTAATCTGATAGCATCACTGCTGTAGAGTTAATTTCAAGCGAGGATGGGCAGCCTTTTCACACATTGACCTCCTTTTGTAGAAAATGTGCCCATTTGATAGAAAGCGTAAATGTGCACTCATGAAGAATTTCAGTCCTTAGGCAGGTAGTCCGCCTCCCTGTTTTAACACCCTCTGCTACATCGTTTGTCGTCCAGTTCAGTTCAGTTCAGTTTATTGAGGGAAATAGGCGTAAGCCTTTGAGTACCCTATTTGCAACGTAAAAAATGTGTGGTGTACAGATAGATGTTCTGGGCTGAAATAGTTCGAACATGCCCATAATGGTGGGACAAAATGAGAAGGAGTTACAGGGAGTGAGCTCGACTTCTCATCGGGCTTGGTCATTTCGGATCATAAATATGTCCAGATTCTTCTTAAAACTTTGTATAGATGGTGACATCACAACATCTGCGGGAAGCTCATTCCATGGTTTGACCACCCGAACCGAGAAGGAGAACTTCCGCACATCCAGCCGTGCCTGCTGAGTGCGTAGCTTTAACGGGTGACCTCGGAGGTTGGTCGTTGTAGCAAATTCAAAAAAGTCCTCGAAGACCAGACTGCAATCCAACCCCTTTACAATGCGGAAGGCTTGCAAGAGATCTCCGCGAAATTGCCTGTAAGTCAAAGGAAAGAGGTTTAGATTTACTAGGCGGGTCGCATAAGGAAAGGAGCTTTGACCCCTAACCATCTTCGTGGCTCTCCTCTGGACTCTTTCGAGGCAGTTTTGATCCACAACAGCCCACGGCCTCCAAGCTTGTATGCCGTACTCTAAATGCGGCCGGACGAATGTTCTGAATGTCTTAGAGAAAGCTTCTTTGTCAAAGTCCATAAACGCACGCTTGATGGCGTACAGTACGGACATTGCGGTTTTTGCCACCCTCGAACAGTGGGCGGATGGTTTTAGGGAACTCGTCGTAAGCACACCGAGGTCCTTTTGGGCTTCGACCTCTTGTAGGGCTGCACCGCCCAGAAAGTAGCCTCTTGTGCTGGCGGATCTGGCTGTGTTGCCTAGGCGAAGTATGCTACATTTGGCAACGTTGAACCGCAGGAGCCAACGGTTTGACCACTCCTCCAACCGACTCAGGTTCATCTGCAGTCTGTCTTCATCGGCAGGACCCCGAATTACACTCCATATCTTCATGTCATCCGCAAACATTGCTACTTCACAGTCTAAATCTCTTGCGGCATCGTCCACGTAGATAAGGAACAAAATGAGTCCCAGTACTGAACCCTGGGGGACACCACTATCGACCATAGCCGGAACTGATTTTCCCCGACCGACGCACACAACCTGCTGTCGACCCACAAGGAAGTTTTCGATCCATTTAAGGAAGTTGCCACCGATCCCTATTTTTTCCAGCTTATGTAGGAGCCTTTGGTGTGGCACAGTGTTGAAAGCCTTCTGGAAGTCGATGAAGGCAGTGTGGACCGCGTGCCTCTCATCGAGAGCTTGGGTCCAGCTCTGGAGAGATTGCAGCAGGTTTGTCGTGCAGGATCTTCCTTTCCGGAACCCATGTTGGCATTTCGATAGTAGGCCGTGAACTTCCAGGAATTGCATTAGTTCACACTTTATGATCCTTTCCATAACTTTGCAGAGAATGCATGTCAAGCTTATGGGCCGGTAATTTGTCGTGGCTGCCCTGTTACCTCCTTTGTGTAGCGGAGTAATATGCGCCAGCTTCCAATCGATAGGAAGTGTTCCAGTGTCAAATGACGTTTGAAAGAGCATCGACAAAGGCGCAGAGAGCTCACGGGCAAGTTCCTTCAGAAGCTTGGATGGAATCTCGTCTGGTCCTGGCGACTTCGATTCGTTCAGTGCCTCTAATTCTCTTCGGACAATGCCTTCTGAGAAAAGTATATCACTGACGCTTGGAGTCGGCAGTTCTTCTGTGGAGGGAGGAAGGAACCTCGCCTCGTTTGTGTAGACTGATTGGAAAAACCGTGAAAAATACGCAGCTTTATCACTACTATCGGCGATCTCAACGCCATCAGTAGTCTTTATCAAGGGGATTGGATGCTTGTTCCTTGTAGTTCGTCGGAGGTAGCTGTAGAGAAATTTTGGGTTCTGCGTTGCTTTTTATAGCAAGTTCTTCTCGAATTCCCACCGCGTTTGCATTATCAGTTTCCTCAGTTTGTTCCTCTGTGTCTTGTAGGTGTTGAAGCATTCAGCTTGTCTAGTGATGCAGTATTTTCTCCACAATTTGTGCTTCCTGTTGATTTCTTTCTTGAGGTTGCTATTCAGCCACCCAGGGCGTTTGTTCAGTCTTACAGTAGTCAGTGGGCAGTGGTTGTTGATGAGCTGCAGAAGGACATTCTTGAACAGCTCCCAGTCATCGTTGGCACTTCCCGTAAACAAAGAGCCCCAGTTAAGACTGGATAAGACTGCCCTCATCTGATTGAAGTCGCCCCGCCAAACATTACGTCTTTTGTGGCCTGGAGTATGTGAAATGGAGAATAACGAATAATCCCACATAAGCACTACGTGGTCACTTCGGCCAAGGGGCGGCATGGAGGTGATCTCGGCTATGCTGTCTGGTGTTTTCGTAAAGACCAGATCCAGGCATTTTTCCCTTTGTCCTTCACGTGTTCTCGTTGGGAACATTACATGTTGTGTGAGGCACGTATTTAATGTCTTGCTCAACAGGCGGTAATCGAATGCCGATTTTGGACCTGACGCTTGGAGGGTATTCCAGTTTGTTCCTGGTGCGTTGAAGTCGCCCATGATCATGATGTTCGGTCGACTGGAAAATTTCTCCAACTGCTCCAATAGTTGAGTGTCGGCGATTCGGTCTGTCCTAGGTGGTCGGTAGACAGTGAGGACATCGAGACACGGGGAACCGGTAGCCTTGATGGTCAACTAGATAGCTTCCGTACTGCACGCAAACTTGGTGGTGTTATCCGACACTTTCAGACCTTCATTCACATACACAATGATACCATCACCCTGACGATGTTCCCTGTCCCTCCGATATATTTGGTATCCAGGCAAGGCTTCTTCGTTATCGCTAATATTCCCGGACAGCCAGGTCTCAGTTACTGCTAAAACATCTGGAGACAGCTCAACAAGGAAAAGTTTAAGTTCGTCTAGTTTCGATATGAGGCTTTCGGCATTCGTGTACAAGCACCTCAGTTTTGCACCAGCCGAATTTCCCGTTGCATTTGTTACTGCTGTGAGCATGACTCCGTTATCGCGGACGTCGTGTTCTCTAGGCTCTTCCGTTACCTGATTGGTTCCATTTACATGCCTTGTTTCAGTCAGATCACTGAACTCTACGGGTTTACTTGTGTTGGCGCCTTGATTAGGTGGTTCAACGAAGGTGTCTGTTTTAGCTGAGCAGATGTCGTCGTTCGCAGTATTACAGGCTGGTTCCACTGAAACGGCATATATTTCCGAACTACCTTCCCCTTGAAGATAGCCAGATTGTGTTCGCCATCCTTCGGTCTTGATTTTAACTCCAAGACAAGTTCCCGGCGTTTCAACCGTTCCGCTGGTGACTAGTCCGGTTGAAAAAAAACCTGTTTGTGTGTGTTTCTGAGATCGTTTTTTTTAGAGAGGATAAACTTGATTTGCACTTTGTTCTCCAGCATAATTTTGAGGGGACGAGGTGGTTGTGCTACTGTCCTGTCTTCACTCCTTTTTCCTATCCGGAATGCTTTCAGAACCTTTATTTCCATGTCTGCCGGCAGTAAATGATTTAGCAGACCATGAAAAGAAGCAAGGTCCTCTGAGACACGGTCTTCAGGTCTGACTGCATTCGATTCTGACAAACCCTAAATAACCAGACACTGCTGGCGAGCAAGGTCCTCCTTACTCTGTCTTTCCGGTGAATGCGCTGCATGTGGGCGAGGACGATTTACGGAGTCATCGCTTGGACGCACACTTTTACTGTCTACCGACTGTCCCGAGCAACCCATTAGGGCTGGCGGTGACTTCAGAATCCTGTCATGGCGTTTCCCTCTCCCCTCTACCCACTGGTTCATGTCTTCACATTCAGATACGTGCTCTGTAGTGCGCTCGGGGTGGTTGCCAGAACAAGAGGGCAACAGTATACTGGATGACCCAGGTATATCGCCTCCAGGCAGAACAGAAATCCCATCACTTACAGCAAGAGGCTTAGGTGATATGGCTTCCGCGACAGGTAATTTTTTGCGACATCGCTTAAGACATCGTGCGTGGGAATCGAGTCTCCCTTTATCGGCGGCTTCGTTTTCATTGTCCTGCTGTTACCAGCGTCTGCGGTTTTGGCTGTTGAGTTGCTACTCGTGTTTGAAGATTCCCCCGAGGAGATATTTTTTCGCGTTTTTTGCGTTTTGCTCTTCGTTTTTGGGATTCTAACACTGGACACGTTCTGGCCGACTACGGTCTGTTGCACGAGCGTCTTTAAATCAGCAAGCTCCTTTTCCAGTTGTTCTACTTTGATTTGAATATCTGCGCACCCACCACAAGGCTCGTCTTCGTACCTCACACTTTTTGCGGTATTTACGCTTTTTGCACGCTTTGCTGGTCGTTGGCTGGAGGCGAAGGTAGAGCGAGCACACGTTCTAGATGCGAAGGACAACTCACCGGACTTATCTTCCAAAGACGTGCCGTCGCTGGCCGTACTACTACAGTTAGCCTGCTGAGAATCCATAAACTTCGACGTGATATAATAGGTATAATTCCGCTTTCGATGTTATAACGAATACGTCGGCTTATATATGATGAATTGAAGTGAGTATTCGAAACTTAATAAGCGAAAAAATACTTGAAATCCGATAAATTTTGTTGAATTTAATCAGAAGCGACTTAGCCCTTTCCAGATCTCGTGGGACTTGAATAACTGCAGACCTTGAAGGATTTTGAGCGATTGGTTTTCTAGGCTGTATACCGTGAATCGGTTGCGTAGCCAGTTGCGTTGTCAGTTGGACCGTGATGATAAATAAATTGCACTTAATCCAGGTTCCAGGCGAATTTCGATGCCTGAAAAAATATTCCAAACATGCAGAAAGTTAGTCTGTACGTACGGTTTCAGTATCAATGCCAGAGACTGTAACTGTGGAATGGTATCCATGTCGAAATTGTCCCAGTTGGAGCGCAGAATAATTCCGTCGTGCTCAGTTGGGCTCGGTTGCTGACGGTCGTATTCCCGAAATCTAGACATTCGGCTAATATGCAACCAGTTTGTCGGAAAAAAAACTGCATCAAATCGGATAGCCTCACTGCTGTAGAGTCACATTCACGCGATAATGTGCAGGCTTCTTCACACATTGGCCCGCTCTTGCGCAACCCATATTGGGACAAATCAGTACACTGAAGTGAAATGCCAAATATCTGCATAACCTGAACATTGGTATTGCATTTTTGCATTTTCAGCGCGATCTAGTTGTTCACCTCCTTATAGCACGTATCGGTCGACGAAATTGCATTAACAACCCATAGATGATTTCAAAATTCGGCATCCGTGTTTTCCAGTCCAATGCTGCTCGCCCCAACATGCCGATACAGCCCACTTAGGTAACTATGTTTATTGCTTACTGAGTGGTTGTTGTTGAAGTTCAGTACTGTCATGGCCTGTCTCGCCCTCCAGAACAATTCGGCCTTTAGGTGGCCACAGTACTAGCGGCAGACAGGTACGTCAGCGAAGGCCCGCTGGATGCTTTAATCCGCTTTCATAACGAAATGCATAAAGGGCAAGTCGTTATTGTAAAAAGTCTTTGAGCGTAAACACATGGAAATGTCTAATATCGACAAATTCATTGTCCTCACACCGACCCCAGTACTTCGTTTTGTCCTGTAGGCAGACTTGCGACCGTAACAGCCTTATGACTATGAGTCCTAAAATCGGGGAACCTATTGGCATTCCATCCATGTCAATCACCGTAAAAATGAAGTTTGTCATTGAGTAGGACTTCAGAACACCGGTGAATCAGAACTTTTCCGAGACCCCACCTGTCAGACATTATGATATAGAAGAAAAGGTGCATACGATGTGACAATATAATTCAATGTCGCCTGGCCAGAGTCCTGTTCTTTTGTGGTGACTAACAAACCGTTGTTCTGGAGTCAGCAGTCAGCAATTTTTGAAACAACACTCCGCACGATGAAGGGTCATTAAACGATAAGACGGGTAGGAAAATGGTGTCATTTACTCATGCGTTTCCGATCGGGTCGGCAATTTTGAAGACGACAGACGTCATGTGGTAATTTCACCAGTGTCGTTAGTCTGAATTATTTTATAGGTTTGTATTACAATAAATATCATGCGGTTCGACTAGAAATTTGCGAATTGCCTCTGTAAGGGCTGTTGAATTCGCGCGCACTAGCATATACTCTAGACTGGTAATGGGCAGCACGGTTTGGAAAAGCGTCCCTCCAGGCTTATTCAGACGTTGCCTGTAATATTGTCGTTAGAGTACTATGTTACGTAGAAAATACCTTCAACTAAGCAAGTATTGGACGTTCAAAGACCCCATTTCCATTAAGTCCCTCATAGATTTTGGAACGAATTCCTAGACAAGTAACAGTTACGAATAATATGGACTTCAGTGCAGTCAGATGATGTAAAAGACAAGAGCGAGAAATCGGAGGAAATGGCAATGGTGGACGGGATGACAGATTTCTAAACGACCTCCGAACATTTCACTAAGGGGTGATCAGAGTCCAAACTTGCTTAGCCACTTAATTAAAAAAATTCAAATATGGTCACAGCGCGCAACTGAGCAAACGCACATTGCCAGTTGCCGGCAATGATTATCTCCTCTCGAATAGGGACGTACGGGGATGCTCGCATTCAGATACAATGATATTACACCGGAAATTTGACTCTTATGATCAAATGTGAGTTAGCCGCCTTCATAACCCACTTGGATACCTAAGGTAAACAATAAGACATTGGCTGAGTTATCGTTACATAGTCGGGAATGACACATTTTCAGAGTAGTTTCGATTGACTTACGTACGCATAATGACGCTACGCATTTCGCCAACGGAAGAGAGAAGCGGGCACTTTCGAATCGTATGCCGAATTAGTCTGTGGGAGCTTAGCATACAGTCTTAGTTAGTTACACGTAAATCACGATGTCGATGTCTTAATATATATGCGTATGAGTAATAATGTCAAGCGTGGGCGTTTTTCCTCCTGTTTTTTTCGTTAACTCCTTTCTTCAGTGCAAAAAAAGCATTTCATTAACAACACCTTGGTATTCCTAGAATTTTAGAAGAATACATGAAATCCAGCCTTGTTCTACGATCATTAAAATAGTCTCATTGCACATTCAAATTTTAATATCCATGATGCGACACTATCGAGTGCAAGTCTACGTAGACGCTTTTGCAGAATTTAGACCCCGTGGATATATCAAATTAATGCTGTCGCGTATTCTGAGCTGATAGTGGGAAGAGTACTATGCAGAACGTAATGTGGTCACCGTTAATCTTTATCTGATCGAGCGCCTTTTGAGAGATGAGATTTGGAATAGGGTTGTCGACAAAGACGAATGAGACCCGATTAGGAGTTGGCGTTCTTGTTTAAGGGTAAGCATACATAACTGAGTAGCACTCGTGTAAACTGTGGGTGGGGGTTGATACACTTTTCTTAGATAAGCAGAGTAGTACTCAATAACTAGCACACGTAAGTTATTTCCCTGTCTGAAGCGTGTACTTGGGAAGCACTGTTCCTGCGAGGCAACGATGGTCCAACGGCCAGGGAGCCTAGGAGCGTGGACGATTAGCCTGGATTACAAGGTGTGCTTTTGGCGGCAAGAGAGAGCAAGCGTGATGCTAACATCATGCATCATTTGAGGAATTTAAAGGAGGGCTCATTGGCCACCGTCAAGACAATGGGATTTAAATTGAGCTAATCTGCATGAACGGCAAATTACCGTCCGCGATGCAAACCTCCCATTTCTAATGCACAAATCGGAACTCTGAATTCCCAGCTTTAACGAAGTATCCGCAAAATATAGATTTAGTCTGAGCTTCATGATCGATTCGTAGCACAAATAAATCCTGCCGTCAAAGTAAGGACACAGACGTGAGAATTAATTACCGCAGAGGCTAAACTGCTTCGTAGGCACTCAACCGAACTAGGCCACCATAGTGTAACATGTTTTTCGGACCTGGATTTCTTAACAGACACCGTCCTCGCAAACAAGTGGAGAGAATTTCATCGATAAATGCAGTGCGTGACCGATCTCATGAAATGTTGGCCGAAATTCGGAAATGAGTTTTTGATTGGGGAAGATCACTAAGGTGGGGCCGTTAAATTATTCATCATGCAACTTGCTCCTAGACTATTTCGGAATGGCCAGGATGTCGACTTTTGAATACACTCCTTTTCGACCTCCAACAGAAACCACACCCTGTAAAAATTGACTGCCTATACAGCCTGCATTGTTGCTTTTGTTATCGATTGTCATATAAAAGGTATTTTGTGGAAATTATGCAAAAACATCCTTTAAATTACTTGTATGGTAGGAAACGCATTGTGTTCTCATTTTATGTCCAAAGAAATGGTATATCGAGGTTCGGAATTACGGACAACATTCCATCTACTCGATCGCGCATTGTTATTGTTTTCGCTGTTAACGATTAAGATGCACGGCTGACTAACGCTCGTGGTAGTTCATCGTTCAGTCTATTTGTTTGGTAGAAAATACATTGAGTTTACATATTATGCCGGAAAAAAGGCCCCATTCAAGTTTGGAATTTGGGTTAACATTTTCATTAGCTCGATCGCGCAATGTAATCGTTTTCGCTGTTTACGTTTAAAACGTATGGCTGACTAACGCTTTTGCCAGATAAGTGAGTGGACAGGAAACGCCTCCCAAAACAGAGATTGCAATGCTGCACAATGATCTGTCGCCACGTAATCACTGAATATGTACATATATTCCACAACTCGGAGCACTATTGGATCTTTACAATGTGACTAAGATATTCCGAACGTTAGCCCTAGTCCGAAATGCATAGGGATATTATCAAAATTTATGTAAAATCCTCTTACAGGACAAAACAAGCTATCATCGTAGTAAAATCAAAACGCCTGTAGAGATGTGTAGCAGATCAACTTTAGTGGGGCTTTCACTAAATGGAGAACGTTAATGACCAAATACACCATTGGGCAAGCCCTTATCTCACTGGCGGATGGATGCTATACTGCAAATCTAACGGCCCGGAAAGTTGAGGGATTTTTTCAGTTGCGTTTTGTAAATCCGAATTTTTTTTCATTAAAAATATGCATCAATACTTTTTAATTGAGCATGCGATCTGCCAAAATGAAGGCAATTGGGCTATAAAGGGACAAACATCGGACCAGCCAGTATGTTACACGACACGTGAAGCAAACTTTCGATGTCCAGGCGAGAGGAAATATCCTTCGCCCATTTAGATAGCCAGACATATCACGACGGAACACACGAATCAACACTATAACATTGTCTACGGCGGAGTTTTACCGTGTGGGGGGAAAATGCATAAGCCATTTAACCAAAGCTAACCCAAGAAATCCTTCTAAGGGCACAAATTGTCTAAGATGTTCAATCGGTATGGTTTCGCTACAGCATACTGAGGATTCATGACAAGATGACTGAAACACGAGGGGATATTAAAAATGAATTCAGCACATAAACCTCGAAATGAGATCCAGGGTGAGGACGTGAGATATTGTCTGTCATTCAAACTTCTTCCTTGGTTTGCATTGATTAAGCGTGCTCGATAAAATGACATACAGACGATCATGGAGGCAAACAGTTGTCACTCAACTTTTTGCTGTAACCTATGGCATGACAGCAAGGCGGACAACCAAATGATATACATATAGGCATACATGCTGTGCGGAATTGTCAAACTATAGCTCAAACAGTGACATCGGTTCGACACAATGGGATTCCCTTCGCCGATGCTACTTCAGGCTGCGTTGATTTTACTGGTAGTCTCTCGTACGTTTGAAAATTCAACACAATTACGGGCGATTGATATAAAGTCACTAATCTTGCTTAATAGGCCGTTATATTTTATTAAGCGGTTAGAGATCATCCAGCGAGCAAGACGTGAGCCCTTATCCTAACCATTTGTCAGGCATTATACCCTAATTTGACATCTGTGAGTAAATCAACGATACAAATATAAGTATATATTAGTCTGCCAAGGCTCGCACTTAATAACACATTCGTCGACTTTGTGTTCAGAAGGCATAGAAAAAATATGCAGAGAGGATAACAAATATTGCAGACCTCTTCCATTCACCAGTGGAGATGATAGCAAGGACGCCCAATGCCGCCGTGTATGTGCAAAAAAACGAGGTATGTACTTCCATGTAAGCGCTTCTCCACCATGTCCGTCGAAATTGCAGATGTTTCGCACGTTCGCTGCCGCGTGCTCATTCAGAACATGGAGATTAATAAGCACCTTCTTTCTTTGTCTCAAGCGAACATAACCGAGAAAACGACTGCCTACTATTGCAAAGGGTCTGGCCAGTCTTGCAGTGCGTATAAGGTCTATGGACGGAAAGGCCATGGTAAAATATTTGAGAGGCACGTGCGGTGTGTTCGGACATGTCAGATGTTGGAACAACGTAAGTAACTGCGGGACACTCATTTGTTCTACACGATTTCACGTAAATTTCGGTTACACAGTGTTCAAAGAATACATTTATGCCAGAACTGAGTATTGTGAACAGCAAGCTATTCCGTTTAACCTGGGAGTGATGATGCATTTTAGTGGACGGCAGCTCCGCGCCGTCCTTTGAAGTGTGCGACCACAAATGGGGGAACTGTCTCAAGATTGAAAGGAAGGACGGAAGCTTTAATGCTTACAAACAGTGCGTTCCCAGGTGCAGTGGTTGGACCGATTGTAAGTTGCCACTTTACCGTCATATTTTTGCTAAATGCTTTTGTTCTGTTGTAAGTACATGCATCCGTTGTAGATTATAATGTTGCTTTAGTTTTCTCTACCTGCTGATATTAGTTTTGGTTTTATTTCAGTAGAAAGAACAGAAGAGCACACTGCATACACCTGCAACGAACGTAATTACTGTGAGGCAGGGACATACTTCACCAAGACAGAAGATGAGGGATTTCAAAGTCTAAAGACGTGTTTGAAGAGATGCCTAGCAGGTGATGTTTAAAATGAACTGTGGGTCTCCAGAACCATTTTCGATTTTCAGTAGGCGTATTTCTGCACGCCATCATATCCATCCTAGTTCAAAGCAGTAATTGCCAGTAGGAAAGCCTGCCATGATTAACTGAGACTATCAATATCGCGCAGCTGAAGGTCTGATTGCATGTATAGTCGTGTTTTAAGGTCAATTTTCATGCAGGTATGGCCACGGGATGCGATTCCGTATACGTGGAGTCGTACCTCTTATTCAAGATTCATCGAGACTGCCATTAGACCGTTGCGAGAAAACTAGTTTCCTACAGCTCTTACCTACGTAACTAGGTATTATTTCATAATATCTCAGTTGTTGCCCGCTAACGATTTCGTGGAGATCAAGCAGTATATAAGGATTTCTAATGCGCACGTTGTTTTCTTTACAATTACATTTGCAATCCATGTGTCTCACGTAATTTTTATATGTTTCGTTTAGAATGAGAGCTTACAACATGTCTTGGCTGGAATTGGGTTTTATTGCAACTGTTTCATAATTGGTTTGGTGTGGATGTTGGTATTTAACAAAATAATTCCCATAAAATAAAAGCGAACGCGAATTCTTACACACCTCTTGCGACCAATTACTGGAAAAGAAACGTGTGTTGTTGAACTTATTCGGTGGCGCTTATTCCATTACAGTTTAGTATATTCAAGGATAATAATCACTGCTGTTAAAGACCCTATTTAAAACGGTACGTACAGTTTTCTGTATCCGTGTCACACACATCTTACAGAATATTGTTTCTGAAGTTGCACGATGGAAACCCGAGGGCAGTTAGTTGTGGATGATTCGGATAAATTAAAACAACAATTGTCCGCATTGGCGGTGGAAGTTTGCAAATCTGCGACTTGGTAATACACAGCTGCTCTGTCAAGTTAGGCGGTATTCTTCAAAAAAAGTATATATCCAATCTTGGCTTTAATGTCTCCGTGAAGTCTTCTGTAGTCGTCTGTTCGAGAAAGCCGTTCCAAGCACTGCCGACGCCCTGAGAAACCAGTAATCTTAAACATGCATATGGGATCGTACATCACGAAGTTTGCGGGAATTCCCACCTAGGTTTGTTGCTGTGGCACAGGCGAAGAGATCGTCGAAGTGCAGAAGACAGTTTCGATTCCTCACAGTCCGGTAGGTCTGTATGAGGGCCTATCTGCCAGTACTCAAGGGAAAATAGGATAAAGCGACCACTTGTTCAGCTGTAAGATGAGGTCACAAGGGATTTGAGGACATTGATCGCTCTCCTCCAAAATCTTTACAACAGCGCATGGTCTTTTTCAGCCCAGGGCGCCACGCGAAGATTTCGTATTTCAGATGCAATCAAATTACAGCTAAACGAATAGAAAACCGTCTACCCTCTTAGACTCCATGGCGCATTGAAAATGTTGTTTTAGAGTTAACTGGATCTTAATCAGAATGCCTTTCTGTTCGGTCACTTTTGAAAGGAGATATTAGTAATTGTGGATAGTATTGCAACTGTTTCGTGCTTGCTGTCGTGTGCGTGTTAAGATTCAGTAAAATTATGTTCCTAAAATAAAAGTGAGCGGGAATTCTTACAAGCTTCTTTCGACAAATTACATGAAACGAAACTTGAGTTATTTCACTCATTCGGTGGCGCTTATTCCATTACAGTTACGTATATTCAAGGGTAATAATCAATGCAATTCAAGACCCTATTTAAAACGTTACATACAATATTCTGTTACCGTGTCATACACATATTAAAGAATATTGTTTTGAGCTTGCAGAATTGAAATTCAAGAGCACTAATTTGTGGATGATTATAAAAAATTAAAAAAAACAGCTACCCGCATTGGCGGTGGAAGTTTGAGAATCGGCGATTTGGTGAAACAGACCTTCTCTGTCAATTAAGGAGGTATGTTTCAAGCAAATATACATCCAGTGTTTGTTCTAATGTCTCCCTGAAGTATTATGTAGCCGCCTTGTCAAAAAACTCGCTCCAAGCACTGTCGACTCCTTGCGAAACCTAGAACCGTAAACATTCAGATGGTATCGTACTCAAAGAAGTTTCAGAGATTTCCTACTTAGGTTTGTTGTCGTGACGAAGACGAAGAAATCGTGAAAGTGAAGAAGACCATCTCGATTCCTCTTAGTTTGGTAGGTCTGTATGAGGGCTCGTCTGCATACACTCGAGAGAAAATAGGTCAATGTGACCATTTCTGTAGCTGTGTGTTGAGGTCTCAAAGGATTTCCGATTTTGGGTCGTTCTCCTCCGAACTCTTTGCAACAACGCGTAGTCTAGTTCAACTAGGGTTTCCACGCGTAGATTTCGTATTTCAGTTGCGAACAAATAAGGGCTAAACTAAAAGAGACCGTCTGGCCTTTTGGGCTACCTAACGCATTGAGAATGGTGTTTTAGATTTAACAAGATGTTAATCCCAACGCCCTTCTGTTCGGCGTCTTTTGAAAACACCTTCTACCAATGAGGTATTGGTGATAGTCTCCGTTTCTGCTCCCGTTTAAGTGCGACACAGTTTTTAAGATTAAACTTAAACGCCCATTTATCGGACCAATCACATGGTTGGGTCCATCTTGCTGGGTCTATCATTCTCGTAGTTGATCGCTTAGTGCGTTTCGCAAAGTTTTGTTTAACGTTTCTACTTAAACCATGTAAGTAACATATTTTTTATAGTGAGGTCGAAAGTGTTGATCACGTTCATGAGAAAATGTTAATAGGCTTCCTAACTGAACACCTACTCCCAGAACTAATGCAAGGAGTGTGGAAACAAACGGCCTCACACACTCGACTTTGGAACAAATCGTCCCCGTGCATTCCTATTACAGCTGAGGTAACTATTATGCCAAGCTACCAATGCTCATTTCTTCAAACGCACATCAGAACCACGCGTGGCAGGCTGCAATATAAATCAGTTATTTTGTTTGAACTACAAATTAGCGTTCACTGAGGCGCAATGGGCATATACAGTGGCGTTCTTATTTAAGCTATTGAGGCCCTTTATGTACCTCCGACGAAGGACATCGAGAATGATTTCGAGTCGAGTACTGCAGCTGCCGCTGATATAAGGCTATTCGTATAATCAAGAGGCACTTTGCCGTAGATACGGGATGAGTTTAACTTAAGCTCGTACCGTAGCCGACAGCCAATGTTCCTCTTGAAGTGCCGCAGACATTCTTCAAACGTCATTTTCAGTATGCTTCACACGCACCCATTAAACTCCAGAACTGACTGTGATAATTCGACCATCGCATCTGAGGATTCACAGCAAAACGAGGCAGGCACGGTGACTTTCGCTCGGATTAGCGGAAAGAAGGGAAGAACAACTCAAAGCCATCTTCCCGGACATTCAATTTACGATGGAGGAGGAGGAAAACAATCAGCTGGCCTTCCTGGATGTCCGACAGGAACTGCTCTCTGAGAGGCGGGATCAACCCGTGGACCCCCGAATTTGAGTCCGGTTCTGTGTACCTGAGTTATTGCGTTCACCTTGCAGCTGTACGTGAATGCTATCAAACGCCTTTTTAAAGTTGAGGAAGATGTCATCCACTGAGCGACCGTGGTTTTCCAGATTGTTTGTTTTCCAGATTATAGCTGATTGTTTTCCAGATCTGTAATCATCTGCAAGCATGGTGGCATCGAATTCAAGATCTGCAGTACGGTCATTTGTATAGATGAGGAAGAGGAGAGGACCAAAGACTGAACCCTGCGGAACGCCGTCTTATACTGAAACCTATTTGGATGTAGTGAGACGAGCTAGTACACTTTGGAGCCTGCATGACGGGAAACGTTTGATCCACTTAAAAATGTTACCCTCAAATCTTCTGTATGAGTCGTCTATGATGAATGTTATCAACTGCCTTTTTAAAGTCGAAGAAGATGAAATCCACTGAGCGGCCGACGTCTCTGGCTTTTGTTTATTCTCCCTACGAGTAAAGTCAGTTAGTAAAACATAAGCAGCGCAGCCCGGGTCCGTCTGCATAAAATGCAGGTCTAACTAGTAGGACGGTAGTATTCGGGCTCCAGCCGGTGTCCTTCTTTGTAGATTAGATAAATAAGAGCCGTTTTCAATTCTTCTGGCAGTCCATGGACTTGCAAAATATCATGGAAACCGGCCCATACAGTATGTCAACCGATTCTCGAAGGCGGGCTAGATGAATGCTGTCCGGTCCGGGTGATTTGACAGGCTTCAGACGACGTAGTTCGTGGGGAAGGGATATACCGGCCGAAATAAAATGGAGAAGCCTGACACTTTCAGCGCCTCAGCGGCGGAATCGCGAGCCGATTCCTTCTGCAACTACATTTATAAATATAGGGGATTTGGGATGCTCCAATGGTTTTTTGAATATGCCTAGCCCATAGTTCACTCAAGGTCTGTTTTTCTCACGCTTACACACATTTCCATGTAGCTTGTATTCATGCAGGCGGTCAGTACTGGCTATTAGTCGAAAACGTCTTCGCACCGTATTTCTCCTCTAAAATCCATTTGTAGTTTACCTACGGCGGACGGTTGCTTAATTTCTTTTGTGTGAATGGACCATTTAGATTAATGATTCTTTTGACCTGTGAGTTGAACGTGCTCCAGTAGTCGTTAATTGTTCACTGTAGCGTGGTTGTCCACGGTATTGCCGAGGGTTGCGTTCACTGGCTGGAGACATTTCCCTTCCAGATATTTGGTTTGCACTTGTTCATGTGCATTAGGTTGGAATAACATTAAGTACTCGAAGGGCACCAATACGATCACTAGCTCCAAGAGGCGGGAGATCACGTACCTGTGACACATTCTGAAATGAGCTCCAGGTCAAGGCAATTTAAACGCTTTTCTTCCATACCACGTGTTCTGAGAGTTTTATTTTGGAAATGGAGTCTTTCCGCTGCTAGTTCAAGCAAACATTTTCCGAATGTGCCCGGTGGAACCGAATCCATCCAACCTTGCCTGTCGATACATGGGGGCGTTAAAATCCCTAACAATAAGAACGTCTCTGTTCGGACAGGCCTTGTTCTGTTCCATTAGGAGAGGACCTTTAATATTTAAATGGGATTGGCGAATGTGTCCGAAACAATAGGTGCGTCCTTGTACTGTGGCCAGTTGCGTTGGTTATTCTCGAAAATACATCATCTGCCTAAAGAGCACGCGGATGCAAATACCTCATACGTGTGTTGGCATAGACATGAAATGCGGAAATGTCTATAAGCCTGCAATGGGGCGCTGTAGATATTGAGCTAGAAACAGATAGAACAGTTTACATAACATAATAAATATCAACGACCAAAGTCGCAAACTTAAATATACTGCACCTATCTCGGTCATTTCACTAAGCTTAAAAATACTTCCTCCAATATAACAGCGAAGTGATATTTCGTCGTACGCAATTCAACGACCAATGTATTCCAAAACAAAAGTCCCAGCTGGAGAGGAATTGCACATCATGTAATTATAAAGTAACGATCCTTCGCAAAGAACGTATATTTTAGGCCGACAGGACTGAGTTCTATATAAGATGCATAAGCCCTTGACGAATATTGTATCACTTAACCGCAGGGCAAGCTATAGAGCAAAGTATGACAATATTCATATGACTATGTAAAAATAGGATTTCGCAGATTTCCGATATTAATTAACTGATTCGTTGGCAATACAGTTGTTCAGAATGACCCCTTTTTCACTATAGGCACCAGGTTTTTCTTTTCTTAATTATAAGCAATGCGACGATCCATAAATCCAGTTTGCTGAGGAAAATCCCCGTCATACATTATGACCCACCAACATCGAAAATGAAAATACTGTGAAAAAGTTTTCTAATTTGGAAATCCCATTGGTTCAAATATCTGTTCGGTAAGTCTGCAATATTCCTGGTTTTCAGGCTTTATCTGAAGCACAGCCGCCAATTATGAATACCGAATTGCTACTTTGAGTTGTCTGAATGCTCAGTGATAAGTGGCAGTAACATTGTATGATATACTTTTCATGCACGTTTAACTAGTAATAATGCTTTTCTTTGGAATATAATTAATAAATCAAATCCGTGTCTTGTGGTAAATTGCTTTCCGAAATAGTATAAGCTAGAATTTCGGTAGCAGCATACCGCATAAGGTGACTCCAACGATGTCCTAATTGCGCGAATGCATAAGACACTCCCCTCCTTGAAGATCAGTTTCACAAATTCACATAAATTTCTTTTCACACTTGAGATCATGTCAAACGTTGTCGGCTAAATGGCAATATTTCGAACGCGCACCGTTAACTACACTTGATAGGCAATTTCGGAGTGTTTGAGAATATATCGATAAACATGGTTGTCTTGTGACGGTACGCCGTTTAATATCCCTAACGTAAAGAGAATTTTCCTTTTAATGAGTCCACTTTAGGGGTATTCGTCTCTTCATAAACTATATGTATGGGCCGGGTATTAATATATTTTGGGTTTGAAAGCCTAAATTGCATTTCTGTAATAATTTACAGTATAGAAGGTATTAATTTACAATAGAAAGAAATTGGCTAGTTTCAGGAAGCAGTTCGAGTTACGATTACTTAAACATGAAGTTTATTGACTCGACGTATAGGATTCTCACTCGACTCCATTATCAATGATTGTTGCAGGTAAAGGTGGAGGAGGCACAAGGATTGCAGTGTTTTTAATAATTAATAATGCAATAGAATTAACTTACGATAGAAGTTAGCAGGCTTGTTCCAGGAAATAGTTCGCAAAAAGAAGAACAAAAAGAGGAAGAAGAAGAAGAAGAAAAGGAAAAAGAAGAAGAAGAAGAAGAGGAAGAAGAAGAAAGAGAAGGCGAAGAAGAAGACACGATGACTCAAATAAGGAGCTTATTGGCTCAGCATTTAGGATTCTTACTCGAACCCATCGTCAAAGATTGGTATAGATAAAGGTAATGGCGGCGCATACAACGCACTGTATATAGTATATAGCTGCCGTGGGACCACATGCGTACCGTAATTAACAGCTCACCTGATTACCGCTAGGTGTCGTAATTATGCGATTCCGGAAGTCTCGAATTACGACCGAAAAATTGGTATGTGCAGTCCAAGTTTGGTCCTTAGCCAAAACTGTACAGTTTGGATACAGATTCTAAAACGATTTAACAAGATTTGACTGCGTTAAGTTTCGTTGACTCGTTGTTAGTGATAGTGCTGGTAGTGAAGAATAAATAATCACTTTGTTTCTTCGATATTTTCGTTACAGAAATAGCTTTATTCATATCATCACGTTGACAATTGGTGAATAATAAGCCGATGTCCCTATCTCACATGGTTCAGAATTTATTTTCTGTTGCCCGAATACGATGAGCTTGTCAGGTTGTCATATGACGACAGGTTCTGTGATACATGAATATGAACACCTCTGTATAAGATATTTTTAAATTAATTCACATTACATGCCCTTTTTAATAAAGGATGATCCGGTTACCGCAACAGGTGGCTTGGTATAAGAATGCTCTGCTGATCAATGTAACCTCAGCCACAGTTGTGCAGGAGTCAGATAAGACAACGTTGGTATATGGAGGTTGAAAACAATATCACGCTTACAATTCCAAAGTTTCAAGATTGTTTTGCGTGTGCTTCATGGAATAAACCAGAGAAGATTTTATTTTCCCAGTTTACGCACCGATGAGCGCGTGAAACGAACGAAAACAACACACCTGTCTTACCTTAGAATAACTCAGGTCCTCTTCGTCTGAGCATTGTACCCCTTTAAAAATACCCGAATCCAGAACGCACACTCATGTGACCCTGTTTGGCTGCTAACGTGTATGCAATTAAACGGAGCTAATTCAACGGCTTTGCGTTCTCTGCAATGGCTTGTTACATCCGGAAGAAGTATACTTACGCGGCGCTTCGCACACACACAAACGTAGCCTGTGGATAACAGCTTCTGTTCTATTCTGTAAATCATTCCATTGGTACCTGGCTATAGTAGGTGTCAACTGGACTAAAGGATTACTAACCAGTCCTTACAATGCTTGTCGGTCTACATTTATTATTTATTTATGATGTAGTTAATTGTGACACATCGGCTGCTTGTCGGTATTTCACAGTCATTTACCATCTGCGGACGACATTGCTTGGACCGGGGAAAGCGTTACAAATAGCATATCATATGTTCGGATACAACCATAAATAATAAGGAACCAGGAAATTTATCCAAATTCTCGTCCTATTTTTGCGAAAAAAAAGATAATTTGGCTTTGCCCTGATACCACCAATGACATCCCACTTCCGTTGCTTAATATTCCTAGATCCTAATATGGGCGATGCTGTGAAGGATAATGAGGTGCTTTTCAGCGGCTATATTGAGACTCCAGTTGGTTCCTGTTAGTGAAATCGACCGAAGTGGTAGACACCAGTTTTAAAGATTCCGACAGTCATTCCCTCAACACGCTGTACGTATTTAACGCATTACGCAAAGTGTAACTATACTTAGTAGCATATTAACTG